TTATTATTTTATGCATTTTATGCAACTTGGATTAGTCTGGGCCATTTTAATTTAGTTTCTTAATATAGACCAGCATTAATATTATTATTGCTACTGGTGACATGTGTACATACTCAGCTAAAGGTGTCATGATGTAGTTCCCTAGGATCTCTTGTTTCGGGGAGTGTGCATATACCGAGTAGATATCGTGCAAACTAGACAGTGTTTCAAGGTGCGTTGGATCATCTCTAACATTAATTCGTTTATATATGTAATCTAATAAATCGTAGCTTTTGTTTTATACACGCCAATATATTGCCTTTGTTTATCACGCAAGGTGTCGTCTTAAACTGTGTAATGGCGGCTGGTTCGGTTGCATTTTATTTAGGCATGTACTGTTATTATGAACCATTTCAACTGCATATACATTTCAAATAAAAATAAAAGTAACTAGAATGCCTTGGCAATTTTAAAATTACCATGGGCATTTGACACAGTGGCACAATTTATTTGTAACCTAAATTGAATATGACAATTTAAAGGTTTGGCAAAAAACAATATACAATACTTGAAATATATTAGTTTAAAGCATTTTAGATACATTTTGGCGGAATCTACGTTCTGTGTGAGGAATATACGCCCAGTGTTATGAATAATCAGCGCTATTAAATGTCTTTTCTATGTATTTTTTTAATTGCTTTATACATTTCAATACGAAAATACGTTCATGCCTAAATAAAATTCAGTATGTATTGAATTAAAATAAAACAATAAATGCGATATATATATGTAAATAGGTGTGTTATTTATGCATGTGTCTACCTCTGAATGTCTTGTAAGACATTGCTTGTAACAGTAGTTGACCATCGTTATATTTACCACCTGTTGATAATGTGTCATTCAGAGCTAGAGCATACAATATCATAGCATCGTATAAAAATGCAGAGTATTTATTTCCCTATATGGTGAGAGAAATTGTTAATGACACAGTACATATTAGAGAGATTTCCTGGATATACTATGTCGGAGAGATATAATAAAATCACAAATATAATGTAAAAAGTAATCATGTCACGGGATGTACTGACTCCAATTATTGTATT